TACAGCTTGAACATTACTATACACTTAGTTAAACACAAACAAAGATAACATTGTAATCTTTGATTAATCCATTTAATTCAGAGTATTTAATTCAACAATTAAATGACACCTTTCTTTTTATAATACTGACCTGCTTCGTCAATTTCACATTCATTTTTAACCACAACTCCTCCAACAATATTAGTTGCAGACTTCTTGGCTGTTTGGCTGATAGCTTTCCAGTCCAGTTTGCCCAAGACTACCTCAGCTTTACTCTTGCAGAAAAGATTTTGGCGACTCTTTTCAGAAAGCGTTGACAGTTTAACTGTTTTTGGCAGCTTGGGAGACTTACTGACCTTAGGAACATGGTGTACAGGTATAACATTCACAGCCATCTTAGAATCCTTACTACTAGATGATGGGTCAACTTTGACGGAATCAGCACCGAAATTGTTTTCCAGTTCTTCATTCACAAATTCAGTCCATCCGATTTCCTGTATACTTTGATCACTGTCGTCTTCATTCTCGAACTCTGCATTCATAGATTCCACTTCCTCTGGATTTTCATTCTCGCCACCTGCAAGTTATATTAAGTCGAATTATGATATGCTTAATATGACTTTCACCATCTGAGGCTGAGAAAAAAAATATCTGTTTCTCGTTTCCGCGCGCATCATTTTGAACTATGCACCTTAAACCTTGTACTCGCACTTGTCTCAAATTTCCCACATTTAAGCTCAGTATTCGAATAAAAAAAAAAAAAAAAACTACCGCCACATTTCAAAATTTACACAGAACGAGAAACAGAGAATTTTTTTTCCTGACCTTACCACACTTTGCATGTCTCCTACAAAGTAAAGATATCTCCATGGCCTCTGAATTTCAAGTCCTGCTGTTAAATGTACATGTACCTCCACATATTTTTCTCGTTACATGTGTATAGAGTATCAATATTTCAGAACTCAATAAAGGCATCAAAAGCAATGGCCTTGATGACCAAGACATTTGCCTTAGTGCCCTTAGAAAATAGACATGTATACTCTGATGTAAAATGTTTTCATGGTTCTTTTTCTGTAATGTACTGGATTCTGCTGTAAATTCACCAAAAAAAAAAAAAAAACCCTGATAGGCCCTTATTTGGTGTTCAAAATTTCAAAAAATGATCATCAAATATTTGTTTGGGAATTCTATTTTCATTGGGCCACACAAGACGAAAGAAACAGTAGATCGCCTAAAATATCATTACTATCAAATTAACAAACCGCCAAATACAATTTTTTTATTTTATTTTATTGGTAACTAAAGTATATTCTAAAAAAAGTTTCAAATAAAAACGAACACAACTGCATTGGTTAGCAAATGATCATGGTACAATGTAGCGCAATCCGGTCATGCTGCGTTTCACAGTTGTTGATTATTACCAAGTAGTGATTATAATAATCTACAAAAAATAAATATATTGAATTGTAACAAAATGCAAATAAAATTAAACTTATTCTCATCCTAAGCGAATAATTCCTGTCGCAGATATAAATGATCGATGCTGTACGATATCCGCCATGTTTTTAGTTGAACTGGGACGGTGTTCTTTGACCTAATAGGTCAGATCTCTAATTATCCAATCAAAATGACGGATGATGCCAACGTGTTCAAATTGCCATAGCATATTCAAATATTTTGATGAAGTTGTAGTACAATCTTTTGGCTTGAATTTTGATGGGAAAACTGCATGATATTTTTTAAATCCAAAAATTAGTTTTTTCAAATTGTAAACTGAACATTTGAAGAATATTTTAACATTGTTTACAGTGATAAAAACTCCTTAATGAAACTAAGCTTACCCATTCACGCTAGTTGCAATAAACATCATACTCTTGAATAGGCGTCAATGACTACGGTCAAATTTAAATTAGATCTCTGTTCGGCGTCAGGAAAGATTAAAATGCCGTCATACCTTAAAAAAATGCCAAAAAATCACCCTCTGCTTTTAAAAACCCAAACTGCCGTTTAACGACCCAGGGCGAATTTACGGCAGAATACAGTATTAGTTCAGTGTAATAAACCATACTAATTTATACCTTACGCAGTTATCTTAGTAATCTGAATGACCACGCAAGTGAATTGGTCTTTTGACATGATGGACTATTCGACAATACAACAATATCTCAATATGTTGATTTTACACAATCTTTCTGGAGAATTATATTAATTTAAATATTTCTGGTAGTAGTAATTACATGTATCAGCATATATTAGAAACATTTCAAATTCTTCCAACCTCAACTTCATCAAGCACAGAAATTTGTCTATCCATGTCTGGGGGGCAATTTTTAAAAATAGCCAGTTTGGTAAATTTTGGTTAATCAAATAAATCAATCCAAATTACAGATTCTATAAACTATTTCTACTAAACTCACCTTCATTTTCTTCATCATTATCATCTTCAAGAATTTCCAACACTTCTTCTTTCTCTTCCATCTCTTCCTCTTCTTCTTCCTTCCCTTCACAATCCTTTTTTCCAAGAGGATCTTCTGTATCAGACCCATCATCTTCATCAAGCTGACCTGTCAATTCCATCTCATACTGTTTATTTTTATACTTCTCTAATACATCTTCAAGTCTTTGTTTGCCCATTTGTCTATTAATTTTCAGTTTATCTTGCAGTGTTTTATCAACTAATGCAGGGTCCTTTTCCCTAGTATAGCTATCTGTTAGATGGCTCCCAAAGTTTAAAACAAAATCAGACTCTCTGCGTCTCTGCAGTAGGTTGCCAACAGTCCGAAATGCATCCGTAGAAATGTCATGAATGAGCTGCGGCTTCATATTCATATTATTTCTTTTGTTTACTTTTTTCACAATGCAGAGTACATCATGGAAATCAGGAAAACCATGTTTGTTCACAAACTTTTCAATTTTTCTATTTACTTCTTGAAACCTTGTTCCTTCAAAATGGACTTTTTTTTCAACAATGCGCCCAGTTTCTACTGGGCTTTCCTTCAATTCGCATATTTTTTTATAAATTTGCATAAATTTTTTTTTCAGTTTGTGTTCCTGCAAGTGGTCGGTATCTCCATCTTCCATTTCTTCTAAACTTATTTCTTTCTCCTCAAGTCGTTTTATCTCCCGGCTCACATCATTCAATAATCCCTCAAGCCGCCTGATTTGTCTTGCTGATGCCTTCTTCTGTTTTTCTGTTACATGAACACGGGGTCCAGATTCTTGAACGGACGTCTCCCCAGAAGAAGTTTCACTGATTTTCGGTGGGTGTACCTGTTCTGAGACAGAAGTAGTATCGCTAAAAACAGATGTGGGTACTATTTTATGTTTCTTTACATTCTTCATACATGTATCTGACTTACTTTCACTGGTACTAGACTTTAGTACACCAGTTTTATCCTGTGATTCAGCTACCTCTTTGTTCAAACCTGGTACTTTCTCACTCACTTGGACATTAGACTGTTCTGATGTAGAACCTGCATCACCAACAGATGTGGGTACTATTTTACGTTTCTTAACATTCTTCATATCTGACTTACTTTCACTGGTACTAGACTTTAGTATATCAGTTTTATCCCTTGATTCAGCTTCCTCTTTGTTCAAACCTGGTACTTTCTCACTCACTTGGACATTAGGCTGTTCTGATGTAGAACCCGCATCACTAACAGATGTGGGTACTATTTTACGTTGATTTACATTCTTCATATCTGCCTTACTTTCACTGGTACTAGACTTTAGTACATCAGTTTGATCCTTTGATTCAGCTTCCTCTTTGTTCAAACCTGGTACTTTCTCACTCACTTGTACACTAGGCTGTTCTGATGTAGAAACAGCATCACCAACAGATGTGGGTACTATTCTACGTTTCTTTACATTCTTCATATCTTCCTTATTGTCACTAGTACTAGACTTTGATACATCATCACCACTGTCATTACTTGATTCGGTACATTCTTTGTTCAAATTAGCCGTTTTGTTTTTCAATGGAACATCAGACTTATCTGATGCCGAATTATTATCATTGACGAGTGTCGGTATAATTTTACGTTTTTTTATTGTTGACTTCACAGACCTCGTATCTGTCTCAGTTTCACTGGCACTTGGCTTTGGAATATTATCCCTAATCTCAACTTCTTTGCTCAAAGCAGCTACTTCTTTGTTTATTGAGGCAGCTTCACCATCACTTGACTCTGTGATTGTTTCACCACAAGGTTGGGGTGATGAAACTTTGGACGACTTCTTGACAGACCCAGACTTGCTACTTTTTCCCTCAGGTGAATCAGACAACAATTTCGCTTCATCTTCATCAGGCTGCAATTCCATTTTATCCTCAATCAATCCCGGCTCACTACAATCTTCCTCTGGTATCTCCAACAACTTTTGTTCAGCTCCAAGAGACAGTGACAATGTCTCCTCCTTTGCAAGAATTTCATCCTCATCTGCTTCAACATTTTTGATATTTTTATTTTCATTAGTTTGATCTGACGGTCCAGCTGTTACTTTCAGTTCATCATCAATTTTCTCCTTATCAGCATCACACTTATGCAAATCTGATTCTTCACTCAGTTTATCTGAACTATCAGTTTTTTCAATGGTATCATCCGAAGAAGACGTATCCATTGGTTCATCTACATCCTGATCTGCCGTCATGCTTGACACATTCTCGTCATCTTCAGTTTTCTCTGACTGATCAGGATCTACCATTTTTTCATTAATCTTATCATCTTCAACAGCAGAGCCTAATCTGGATGTTATGTGTTCTTCGTGGCTGTCAGGCACTATGTTCTCAGAATTAGAATCATTCTGAAGTTTAACTGAGATATTTACTTTATCTTCAGTAGCACTGCTAACTGAAATAACCTGAGGTTCACTTACTACACTGTCTGATACGGTTTTCTTTGCACAAGCCTCTGCATCAATTGATTCCAACACATCTTTCTTCTCAACAGCCCTTACTTTAGCATCACAGACATCATCATCTGCATTACTATTTTTTCTTTTCCTTTTTGCTTCATGTTTAACTTTTGTATCCTCATCACTAATCTCAGGTTGTGTGCAAGAAATAGTAGTATCCTCATTTACAAAACCTTGTGAAGTCTCTGAGTTATTTCCACTAGTGGTTGGATGGCTATGTGACGACACAGTGTTTTCTTCATTCTTCTTTTTCTTATGTTGCGGTTTCCTCTTTTTCTTTTCTCTCGCCTCGTATGCTTTCAAAATATTACAGACCTCATGAATGTGGACATATACAGACTTCCGTGTAGCTTTCAGCTCTTCCACTTTGTCAATCAGCATGTTGTAAAATTCTATTGAACTTGTATATATTTTTTTGGCATGGTTGAATTTTTTCCACATAAAGGTCTTTATTGCAAGCTGGTTATGAATCTTAATGAGTGGCACACAAACAGCAACAAACTGCAAGAAAAAATAAAATAAATGTCATCAGTTCTTTCAGGTACACAGTTTCAAACATAATATCCAAACGTATGTAAGAGAAAATATACTTCTATTTTAATGTGTACAAATGTAGATGTATTTGTATCAGACTAGGAGAAACACGAAAAGGTAGAATCCTATTCTCGGGAGTAAACATCAAGTCATTTTCACCACCTGGCAATCACAATAGGTGAAACAGTCAAAAACTTAAATAAAAAAAACAGGATGCTCAAGAAAATAAATACAGAAATCACACTATTACACTTAATTGGTGAAAAGTGTTGGAATTCAAAAATACAACAAACATTTTATAAACGGCTACTGTGGAATACTTTATTTTCGCTGGAATTAATTTTTGCTGAAAAGGCTTTTTGAGCGTTTTGTATGGAATTTATTTTCACTGATTTTTGATGAGTTTAATGTGAAATATAGGAAAAAAAAGTATATTCGCTGGATTTTATTTTCACAGAATCATCCCTTCAGCGAAAATAAATTCCAAGTGAAAATAAAGTATTCTACAGTATATTATTTATTACCTGGACATTGTTGTCCTGGCAATTAATTTGATGAACACTGTGTGCCTATTGTGTACTTAATGTTAAAACCCATAAGCATATAGAAATCTGTTTGTTATAAAGTGCGTAATAAAAGTAGTTTTAGTGTGTGACATAGAATATACTGTAAAGTGGTTATATTTGACGGGTTAAATTTTAGCACATTCCTGATTTTGACAATTTAACGGTGTTTAAATTTCACGCACTGAGTACAAAATCAAAACAATGTCCAGCTACGTAAATGTTCATCTGTTTCACATCCTGTCTGCTCAGTTGTTTGGCCTTTTGTTTATTGTTGCGATTTTCACACTTTTTTGATGAAAATAAATGTGCTAATGTTTTTTTGTAAACAACCAACCACAAGCAGGAAGTTTAGCTTAAATCAGTATAAAGTAGGGTGTCTGTGAAAGACACATCACTTTACTTTTAGGAGATCGCTCTACGCATTACGTTCGCTACTCACTAATATTTATGCTACAATTCAATTAATCATGGCTGGCAGCCCGATGCATTGGTTAAAAAAAGCACCATTGCCTGCTCAAACTGAACCAGGTTTGCTCGATCCGAACGACACACAAGACATTGAAAAAAGCAAGCTGCCTCAGGTTGCCATTTCCGTGATAAACAAAGAAATCACCGTAGCAAGTAGGAAACGAAAACGTGGTAATTATCAGCACTACGATGACACAACCAGAGCAAAAATTGCAAAGTTTGCAATCAACAATGGAGTGATGAATGCCACGAGAAAATTCAGTAAGGAATTTGAAAAGCCGATCAGCGAAAGTACCGTTCGTGGTATGAAGAGGTCTTACCTAAAAGAGGCCCGCTACGGAACCGAGAACATCAACAAACTACCAGCAAAGCGTGGGCGTCCTGTAATGTCAGGTGATGAACTCGACTCTAAAGTACAATCCTATGTACGTCAACTTCGCATCAAAGATGGTGTTGTAAATTCGTCAGTTTTTATCGCTATTGCAAGAGGTGTATTGCTACATGAAAACCGAAGTTTGCTGGGTGAATATGGAGGCCATGTAAGTTTAAGCATGGACTGGGCCAAGTCATTGCTACAATGTACATCGTATGGGGTACGTCAAGAGAAAAGGGACAAAGGCAGTGAAAAAAGTGGTTAATAATTTTCCAGCTGTTAAAGAAAAATTTCTGAACCGTATAAAAGAGACTGTGGAATAATACGTTCCCCAAGAGCTTGTCATCAATTGGGACCAGACCGGTGTTGCCATTATTCCCGCGAGAGAATGGAGCATGGAAGAAGAGGGGAGTCGCCAAGTGTCAATAACCGGCCTCGATGACAAGCGTCAAATAACAGCTGTATTCGCCGCGTCTGCTACGGGAGAATTTTTACCACCACAGCTACTCTATCAGGGAAAAACCGATCGCTGTCATGCTAACTACAAATTTCCCGAGTCTTGGGACATTTTCCACACTGAAAGCCACTGGTCTAATCACGATTCTATGATGCGATACACTGACAAGGTGTTTATTCCCTATGTTAAGGTGACGAGAGCGAGGCTGCAGTTACCGCCCACACAACAAGCCGTCGCCATTTTTGATGTGTACAAGGCACATCGGGGTGAAGAACTGCTGAATAAACTCTGTGAAAGTAACATCTCTGTCGTATTTGTTCCAGCAAGCTGTACAGATCGCCTGCAGCCCTTGGATTTAGCAGCAAACAAAGTCTTCAAGGACAAGATGAAGCGAGAATTTCAGCTATGGTACAGAGATCGCATATGCTCTGCATTGGGCAATTCTGTTGATCCAACATCAACGTTAGATCTACGGCTAAGTTCAATGAAACCACTTCATGCAAAACGGTTGGTCAGTGCAGTACAGCAAATTTCCCAACAGCGTGAACAACTTGTAGAAGGCTTTGCACAAGCTGGAATTCTGAATTGTTTTCAGTAAGAGAACTCTGAATTTTCTCGTACTAGTACTGTATTTACAGTGACGTCCTCGCCATTATTTACATTTTAAAAATACTACTACTAGTATTTAACATTGTAATAATTTATTTCTGTATGTACAATAAAACAAGATGAATAGTAATATTTCTTATTTTATTATAATGTGTGGATGAATGAAAATTGGTCACGCAATACCCTATACTAGTACTAGTACCTACATGTACTGGTGCGTTTGACTTCCTGTCCCAATGACGACAATGATAAATGGCGGTGTTTTAATTTCACTCACTTCTAGTTTGCGTTAAATACGCGAAAATTAAACCCCGATAATAATTACCCACTTTACAGTAACCTGTATCTCATGGTATTTTTAACTATAGAGATACAAAACGTTATGCAGTTGACAATGAATGATATCACACTTATAGCAAGAACACAAATATCACAAGTATATTACAGCATACAGTATCAGTAAACAAGCAGCCTGTATATGTACCTCTGCTCAACCAAAAATAACAAAAACATTCACTAAAATTAGAAAACCAAACTTATTGTTATGAAATAAAATAAACAAACCTGCCACATCACCTAACGTATCACAAATAAAAAAATAAAATACTTGTTACAGAAAAAACACCAAATAGTTTTTTTTGAGATAGAAGAAAATCGACAAAAAGCCATTGCTCAAAACATCTATGGTAGCTATTTTGAATAGTCATTGGGACAATGATTACCAAAAATTATTTACTATACATCATGTATGAGATATGTCTTGAATAGACAGTGTTCTCCCCAGGAATTTAAACCACTGTGGCGGACTAATTTGCATATCATTTGCATATCATTTACATAATAATAGAGATTGACCAAAGCATATTTACATCCACATAACAAACAACATATATTTTCAAAAACAATGTGGCACATATTTATTTGTTTCATACAGTGTTATAAACACTATTCTTTTGGGATATTAATGAGCTCAGTCACAGTGCAAATATTTTTTCTATTGGAGTCAAAATATTACGTTTCACAATTTAGAAGAGTTTGAATTTAAAAATGAAAAA